TTAGCATAGTTCTCAAACTTTAACTTCCAAGTGTTTATCATTATCCTAATTCCACTGGGCACAATTCATTGGGAAATGGAATGGGCTCTATTTACTGAATTGTTATTGAAAGAAGTTTATGTAAAATTTACCAAGAGATTTTAAGACCCCATTTTTCCCTATCCTAATCTTGCTTTAAATGAATCGTGTTATCTTTAACTTTGGTCCCTTTAAAGAAAACTTACTTTATTTCCCTATGAAAGAACATCTAAAAGAAGTTCTTTGGAGACAGTCTAAACAGTGTCCATGAAACATACTAATCTTACTATACCTGCATCATTAACCATCTTTAGCTTCATTCTCTTTTAAGAAAACTAAAACCTATACCATTTCCCCATGAGAGAGCATTTATAAGAATTTCTTTGGACTTAGATGACACACTGTCAATGAAATATATTAATCTTACTATACCCCCATAATTAATTATTATTGTCATATTTCTTGCATTACAGACACCTTTTCTCATTCTAGCACAGACTTTTACAGTGATCTTTGGAAATATTCACTGAGCATCTCCCTAGTATGTGTTCTAGTACAAAGCGTGCAGGGATTTAGGAAAATATTTACTAGAAATTCGAATCTTAAGCAGAAAGATTGATCTTTACAGTATTAACAAATAAATTAACTAATGATTGCCTAAGAAGGAAAGAGTGTTTGGGGAGATTTGTCTGGATGATTTTGCAATGGCACAGCTAGGAGGAAATGAAGATTGGCTATAAATGGTGTAAATATGGAGATCAGAGAAGTGACAGAATCCATCCTCTTGGTCTAAGCATGGGATTTAGTTGGTGAAAGTTTTGCTTTTATGACTATTTATGGCTTTGTTTGTGGCTGGAGCTCACTGTCTCACTGTATCATCATGCAGAGACGGTCTGCATCCTGAGGGAGAGAGAGAATGATAGCTACTGTTGATCACCATGGCTCTAGCTTATGTTTAGAGAGTACATACTGTAAGGGTGAGTGTCAACTATTGAAGCTACTCTGATTTTTATTTTTCAAACAAATAAATGGAACCAGAGGAATTTTTAGTAAGTTACAAATAAAACACTTTATTGATTAGTAAATTTGGGATTCACATCCCAGACAGTCGGCCTCTAGTCTCTATATTCTTAATCATTGATGATGATGATGATGATGATGGTGATATTAAGAACAAATTATTTTGTGATAATGGTGATGATATTAAAGGACAAATATTGTGAACTTTTTCTGATTTGCCCTGTGCTGAAGGCCATACATGAAGTCTCCACTTGACTGATCAACTAATGGCAACTCAATTACATGAGCTCTTTCAGTAAACTCTCCACTCTTTATTAAATGTTAAACCAGGCCAGTGCTCCTGAGTGCATGTACAATTCCTTTGAGTGTATGGTCCACATCCAGGGCATGGAGCATTCAGGGGTGGAAATGGGTCTTGCAGAGAAGCAGATTTCTAATCTCTACAGTTCTGCCTCTGCCAGAAGATTTTAAGGTCTTATTCATTTTACCCCATCCAGAGTAAGTCTGCTAATACTTTGACCTAGTACTGTGGCATCCTTAAATAGAGGCCGTATACTTAGTTCTCTTTAGATCGGTTATTAGGCCACCAAATTACTGGCAGGAGGCTCTGGAACACATTATTCAGCTTACCGCTATTCATAGCAATTCTACATGTATTTAAATAAAAATGCTTGAAAAAAATATTTCAATGAACCCTGACTACCCCCATCTTAGGACAGGTTTACTGGTAATTTTGTTCCCTTAATTCCTTCATGTAATAATTCTCATAAGATGAGGACAATAGTTGTTATGTGCTTTAGATCAGATGGTTCATGTAATACAGTACTTACCATAGTGCTTGACCCATATCCATATAGTAAGTACAGGGCAAGATGTTAACTATTATATCGTCTTCATTTTCAAAGCTTGACAAAAAAGCATGAAGATATATATATATGTACATATATACATATATATGTATATATAGTGCTTTTATTTTCATTGGATTTTATCCACTTTGGAGTTAAGAATAACTTAGGCACACAGTCTGGAAGGAAATTAACAAGCTTTCTGAAACATAACCCAAATTGCTAAAGAAAATTTTGCATGTTTTCATTTAAATCCTTGAGGGAATGGCATAATTAATTAGATATTAAATCATTTTAATTCTACTCTTCCTATCATAAGTACATTTGTTTTCTTTTAGAAGAAAAAGTAGTTTGATTCTTAGGTGACCAGAAACTTTAAGAGAGGCAAGCAAAAAGGTAAGGAAAGAGGGTTATAGAAGATGGAAGAAGTCTTTATCCAATGTTGTCTTTATTACAATGTCAAAGGAACATTCCAGGACAAGGAACTCAAATCAAAGAATTTAAAATGCAGACAGTCTAGGAATAACTTCCCATCATCTTGTACAAATGACTGTTGAGTGAAAGCTAAAGTCAGAGCTGAAATTTTTTGAACATTCATAGCAAGTGTGAAAGGAGCTGTTTTGTGCAACAGGATAAGGGAGCAGGGAGAGAGTAAAGTCAACCACTGATTTACATTGCAAATCAATCTGCTTTTCAAGGTGTTCCCCTGTATGTCAAAACTGTATGTCTCCTGAGGCTCAGGAGAGATCGAGGCTGATCCTTTAAACCCTGATACCTTCTATGAGGACATGTAGCCAAAGCCAGGTACAAATACATTTAGTACTTCAGCTTTTCTATAAAGTTGCTCATTCAGAAGTTGCCCTCAGTAACTGAACACTTTTCGGTCTTCTCAATCTGGTATGCACTTTTGACTGTTCTTTGTCCTTGGATCAAACCTCTTTTGGATACAGGTGAATAATTCCTCAGACACACGTTCCTTTGCCCACTATTGGATCCGAGATTACCTGAAAAATTGGTATAAATCACTGGCTATATATTTAGGGATTGTTTTGACTCCTTAAAAAGGACATGACATGTGAAAATTACTTGTCTCAGCCAAAAACGTGCTAGAGGGAAAACATAGGTAGTGTGGTTATCTGAAAATTTCTGTATACTATGACAACATTCATATGAACAAATCTCAAAATAGAAAAACATTTTAAACTGAGCTGAAAATTATTTGGAAAAATGAATACGCATGACTGTACTATATATTTTTGTTAATACACAATATGCTCAGTCTGGAACAAATTTTAGCTTCCCAGGGAACACAGAGTTTAACTTAAAAAATATGTTTTTATGAATTTAAAAGAAAAGTTAAATTTGGTAAATGCAGAAATTTTTATGAGAGAGGAACAAAGAAATCAGAAAGCAAATGAGAAAATAGCTGCATATATTAACATCTGAAGAAACAGAATAGAATTTCCTCTGCTTCCAACTTTTTTTGAAAAGTTTTTAAGTGAGCAAATGAAAAATCCTTCGCTGATTTATATGAGTTGATTACCTTTCTAAATGTAAAACAAAGAAAATCCTTGGGAGTAAAAAAGATACCATAAAGTGAAAGGCATTTCCATACAACATTTTATATTTTAAAGAGAAAAATCTTCTAGTCTCAAAGAAATATGGCTCAATAAGTTATGCATCCTGGATGTACCTTTAATGTGCCTTTAGTTTTGGTACATATTTGTTACATACATCTATAGATGTCTATAATACCCAATTAGTTACCTACAGAAAACCCTTATGATTGATAATGCTGACATCTATCTGTTATATTAGATAGGATTGGATAACCTTTTTAAAGGAAGAAAACTAAAAAAAAATTCTACACTTCTATCTCTGGCCTTGTCATCCCGTTGTTCATCGACTTGCTTGAGCGGGCCCAGTAACATCTCCATTGTGACACTTGTTACTGTGTTTGGCATATTGAATACATCACAGGTAGCTTGCCAGGCTTCCGGCGGGCAAAATACTCTCAGCAGCTTGCTGGGCTCTCTGAGAGGGGCGGAGGAATCGAACTCATTCGGCCATGTTGGCTGCGTGCAAGGCAAATGCCCTATTACTGTGCTATCACTCCAGCCCTTGTCCTATTTAAAAAAACAGAATGTGAGATTTATTACACTGTAGCAAAAAGTTTCCCTTCATTTTCTTCAAGTATAGTAAACGTAGCAATTGAACTAAAATATTGGATTGTGTAATAAAAAAACTGATAAATACAAAGGAATGGGTTTCAGGTTCAAAGGAGAATAGACCATGACAACCCTAGAAGATTGTTTAATACAATGTCAAGTGCTACCAACATAAAAGACTCCAATTTACTCTTGTTTCCAGAAGCTAGAAAAACTTTTGAACGTTAATTGGAAGCTTTTACTTTTGATAGTGAAAAGCATGGACTTGCCACAAGAATTCATTTCATGACAGAAACATTATCTGATAAAGGCCAAAATTAAGGCTAATGTGTATAATTGGGAGACCTTTTCCTTCCTTTTTCTTTTTTTTGGGAGGATAAGGAAGCAGCCATAGTCTGTCCACATTTTCCTCTATTATTTTGTTCATCAATAGTATCTCTGTCAGGGAAGATGAAGAAATGAAATTAGGGTAGTTAAGGCCCACAATTTTATTGTGAGGAAATAATGGGGCTCAATTCTGGTTGCTTGTAAGATGTATAAAGACCACTTTCGGGGAGTCAAGTGGATGGTGAATCCCCTCTCCTAGTATTTGGTTTAGCTTAAGAGATACTTTGCTCTTGGGGCAAGTTTTTTACAGGTCATGTCTTTTGTTGTGTGCATGGAAGTAACATCACAGTTTCAGGCTGTCTTCTTTTCTTGGCCCAAATTTTTCCAGAGTGATCTCTAATGAAACAGAAGAGCAGAATTTCTAACATAGACATATACTGCATACTGTTATCTATTTCTATTTCAATTTCCTTTCCTAATAGAATAGATATGAAACATTCAGATTTTCTGATGAGAAACTAGGCAAATGAAAATTGTAAGCTTTTATGCTTAAACAAGGATATATGAGCAAATCATAAAGGACAGTATGGAAGTGAATTGATTTAAAGCTAGTTACACTGTGCTGGCTTCAGCAACATGTATACTAAAATGGGAATATACTAAGAAGATTAGCATGGCCCCTGCAGAAGGATGACATGCAAATTCATGAAACATTCCATATGTTTCTCTCCTGTGCTATGTTTCTAGTCTTTCTACATAATGTGAAGAATTCTCACCATGAATCAATGATCTGCAGTAATTCAAAATATTCTCTTTGTGATATATCAAAAAACATAATATAATAGCTATTTATCAGGATATCAGTGAAGGGGAAATATATATTTTAGGTTCCATATGGATACAACATCAGCTCTGTACAAGAAAACAAATAATACACATTCAAAAAGGATGACATTGTAGTTTTTTTTGTACAGGTCCTTTACTTCCTTAGTTAAGGTGATTCCTAGGTACTTGATTTTCTGGGGCACAATTGTGAATGGGATTGTTTTCTTCATGTCTTTTTCTTCTCTTTCACTATTTGCATATAGGAAAGCCATGGACTTTTGGGCATTAATTTTATAACCTGCAACTTTACTATACAAGCCTATTGTTTCTAGAAGTTTCTTGATAGAGGTTTTAGGGTTTTCTAAGTATAGTATCATATCATCTGCGAATAGTGAGAGCTTGATTTCTTCCTTTCCTACCTGGATGCCCCTAATATCCTTTTCTTGCCTAATCGCTATTGCAAGCACTTCTAATACTATATTGAACAGCAGTGGAGAGAGTGGGCATCCTTGTCTCGTCCCTGATATTAGAGGGAAGGCTCTCAGTTTTTTGCCATTGAGGACGATGCTTGCTGTAGGCTTGTGGTAGATGGCTTTAACTATATTGAAAAAAGTCCCCTCTATCCCCATTTTGGCTAGGGTTTTCATCATAAATGGGTGCTGGATCTTGTCAAATGCTTTCTCTGCATCTATTGATATGATTTTTATCTTTTCTTTTGTTGATGTGGTGGATTATGTTGATTGATTTCCTAGTGTTAAACCAGCCTTGCATCCCCAGGATGAATCCTACTTGGTCATGGTGTATAATCTTTTTGATGAGTAGTTGAATTCTATTTGCTAGTATTTTGTTGAGAATCTTCGCATCCGTGTTCATCAGGGATATCGGCCTGTAGTTTTCTTTTCTCGTGGTATCTTTGTTTCCTTTTGGTATTAGGGAGATATGGGCTTCATAGAAACTGTTTGGGAGAGTTTCTGTTTTTTCAATTTCCTGAAAGAGCTTGAGAAGGACTGGCAGCAGGTTCTCTTTAAATGTTTGGAAAAATTCGCTAGTGAATCCATCTGGGCCCGGGCTTTTGTTTTTGGGAAGGCTTTTGATTGCAGTTTCTATTTCGTTGATGTTAATATGTCTATTCAGATACTCCAGGTCTTCTTGATTCAGCTTTGGGAGATTATAGGAGTCCAGGAATTTGTCCATTTCTTCTAGGTTCTCTTGTTTCGTGAGATACAGACTTTCAAAGTAGTCTCTGATGATCTTTTGGATTTCTTTGGTTTCTGTTGTGATATCCCCCTTATCATTTATGATTTGGTTTATTAGGGTTCTCTCTCTCTCTGTTTCTTTGTGAGTGTTGCTAGTGGTTTATCTATCTTGTTTATTCTCTCGAAGAACCAGCTCTTGGTTTCATTGATCTTTCGGATTGTTTCTTTGGTTTCCATGTCATTGATTTCTGCTCTAAGTTTTATGATCTTTTTCCTTCTGTCTGATTTAGGTTCTTTCTGTTGATCCTTTTCTAAGGACATGAGCTGTGAGGTCAAGTTGTTTATGTGAACCATTTCTACAGACCTAAGATATGCTTGCAGAGCTATAAATTTTCCCCTTAATACAGCTTTCGCTGCATCCCATAGGTTCTGGTAGCTAGTGTCTTCATTCTCATTTGTTTCCAGGTATCTTTTACCCAAAAGTCCATGGCTTTCCTATATGCAAATAGTGAAAGAGAAGAAAAAGACATGAAGAAAACAATCCCATTCACAATTGTGCCCCAGAAAATCAAGTACCTAGGAATCACCTTAATTAAGGAAGTAAAGGACCTGTACAAAGAAAACTACAAAACTCTACTTCAGGAAATAAAAGAGGATACGAGGAAATGGAAAAATATCCCCTGTTCATGGATCGGGAGAATGAACATTGTCAAAATGACAATAATTCCCAAAGCACTGTATAAATTCAACGCAATCCCTATTAGTATACCCATGACATTCTTCAAAGAATTGGAGCAAACACTCCTGAAATTCATATGGAACAATAAGCCCCCACGAATAGCTAAAGCAATTCTTGGGAAAAAGAAAATGGGAGGAATCAACCTCCCTAACTTCAAACTCTACAACAAGGCAGTAATAATTAAAACAGCATGGTACTGGAGCAAAGGCAGAGCTGCAGACCAATGGAACAGGGTTGAATATACTGACGTTCCCCCCCAAGCATACAAGCATCTAATCTTCGATAAGGGGGCAAGAAAAATGAAGTGGAGCAGGGAAAGCCTCTTTAACAAATTATGCTGGCAAAACTGGACGGCTATATGCAAAAAAATGGGCTCAGATCTCTGCCTAACTCCATGTACAAAAGTAAGATCTAGGGTTTTCAACCCCTGATCTGCGTGGGACGGGCACAGAGGCCCAGCTCTGGGCAACAAAGCTGAACGGCTCCAATTCCAAACAGGTACAGCCCGCCACCAAGGGCCTGGGACCCTCTCTGGGCATGCGCAGCTAGATCCAGCCCCTAGAAAGCCGGTTTTCAACCCCTGAGCTGCGTGGGATGGGCACAGTGGCCCAGCTCTGGGAAACAAAGCTGAACGGCTCCAATTCCAATCAGGTACAGCCCGCCTCAAGGGCCTGGGACCCTCTCTGGGCATGCACAGCTAGATCCAGACCGTAGAAAGCCGGTTTTCAACCCCTGAGCTGCGTGGGACGGGCACGGAGGCCCAGCTCTGGGCAGCAAAGCTGAACGGCTCCGATTCCAAACAGATACAGCCCGCCCCCAAGGGCCTGGGGCCCTCTCTGGGCATGCACAGCTAGATCCAGCCCCTAGAAAGCCGGTTTTCAACCCCTGAGCTGCATGGGACGGGCACAGAGGCCCAGCTCTGGGCAACAAAGCTGAATGGCTCCAATTCCAAACAGGAGACGTTCCCAACTCCTCGCCCAGTGCCAGGGACTCTTTCTGGAGCTGCGGCCGCTAACGAGGCTGCGAAATATTTTCCCACTATGTATGCCATAGGAACCATAAGCTACCTTCTTACGTGGAAACTTCTCTATTTTAGCTCAGCCACTAGAAATACAGCAGCCAATAACTCATAAGCCTATCTTAACTCACACTGCATATCAAGCAGAATAGTAACAGTGAACATGAAGGACTAAACCACACCTCTCACAATGGTAAAGCAATGCAAAAGCCCACCAAACTTTCATATTGAAGAGTCTAGCCCAGATGACACCAACAGTACTGTAGTGTTAGACAACCTCTCTGACAAGGTATTCAGAAGGGAGCTACTTAGGATGCTTAGGGAATTAAAAGAAACAATGGAAAGCAATGCCAATAGAAGACAAGAGGATCTGAGGCAGAAATGAGGAAAATGCAATCAGAAATGTCAGACCTGAAAAATCTCGTAGGCGAATTGAAAAGCTCAGTGGAAGGCCTCAGCAGCAGAGTAAGAGCTGCTGAGAACAGAATCAGTGAGCTCGAGGATGAAGTTCAGAGACTCTCAGGAAAAGAGCAGAAAATGGAAAAGAGACTCACAATTCGGGAAGAGATGACAAGAGAAGATCGTGATGAAGCCAAGAGGGGTAACATAAGAATTATTGGAGTCCCAGAGGGACAGGAAGAAAGCCGTGATGAAGAAGAAACTGTCAAAGACATCATTGCTACGACGTTTTCAGAGCTGAAGAAAACTTGTGACCACATTCAGGAGGCCCGAAGGGTACCAGCTAGAAGAAATCCGAATAAAAATACCCCAAGACACATTCTGCTCAAAATGACCAAAACCTTAGACAGAGACAAAATTCTGAAAGCAGCAAGATCGAAGAAAGAAATCTCTTACAAAGGAGCATCCTTAAAATTCACAGCTGATTTTTCTGATGAAACCCTCATGGCCTGAAAACAGTGGTGGGGCATAGTGAAAAAACTCAATGAAATAAATGCCTCCCCCAAAATACTTTTCCCAGCAATACTCTAATTCATAATAGAAGGAACAACACACAGTTTCACAGAAAAACAACAGCTCAGGAACTTCATAGACTCAAAACCATGGTTACAAGAACAACTAAATGGGCTACTTTAAGGCAAGAAAGGCCCCTCAAATACACCAAACTTTAACAGAACAATGGGACAAAATCCCATAACAATAATCTCTCTCAATGTCAATGGGCTAAACGCACCAATTAAAAGACATAGAGTGGCAGGATGGATTAGAAAATTGAACCCAACATTCTACTGCCTGCAAGAAACACATCTCAATCGTCAAAGCAAACACAGACTCAGAGTCAAAGGCTGGAAAACAATCCTACAGGCAAATAGCTCCCAGAAAAAAGCTGGGGTAGCCATCCTTATATCAGACCACATCGATTTCAGAATGAGGAAGGTCATAAGAGACAGTGAAGGCCATTTCTTATTGATCAAAGGATCTGTACAACAGGAAGAACTTACAATAATAAATGTATATGCACCTAATGAGAGACCAGCAAAGTACTTAAAACAACTACTCATAGATTTGGAAAAAGACATCAATAGCAACACAATACTAGTGGGAGACTTCAACACTGCTTTGTCACCTCTTGATAGATCAACCAGACTCAAGCTTAGCAAGGACATACTTCATTTGAGGGAAACAATGGAAGAAAGGGACTTAGTAGATATATACAGGACACTTCATCCACAAAAAGCTGAATACACATTCTTCTCAAGCGTACATGGAACATTCTCCAAGATAGACCACATGCTGAGCCACAAAACATGCCTCCATAAAATTAAGAAGGTAGAGATTGTATCAACAATCTTCTCAGACCATAATGCGCTGAAATTAGAAGTAAATCACACACAAAAACAGAAAACTAAATCAAACACCTGGAAATTAAACAGTGCACTATTGAACAACGAGTGGATTAGACAGGAAATCAAAGAGGAAATCAAAAGA